GAGTCGTACTCTCCCCAGACCTTTTCAGTCACGGCAGCCGTAGTAGCACCAGCCGTAGTAATTCGCTTAAACTCCCTAGTGTTTAGTTGGTACAACGCGATTGGTCAGTTTCAAAGGCATCACGTACCAAACCATTTTAGAGCACAAAGATACTGTGTCCTTCGAGGCACGTCCGAAATTACCACATTATTCAAGATTTAATGCTACTAAGGAAACAAGAAAAGTCGCAATCCTCAAAAGAACTGCCCTCCTCAGCATCTTCGTTTTCTTCAGATGTTTTGAGGTCAGGTTCGCCCCTCGTTCGTTTGTACAAGCAGGGCAGTAGTCACAAATATGAATGTATTTATTTGTGTGACTGGTTCAGCTGGCAGGCTGAAAATGAGGTGGGCGGATCTCTATCGAAGGGTAAAGACTGATTCACGAAGTGAAACATTACACCTTCCAAATGAGATATTTCTCCATCCTGTATTTCTTACAGCTTTCTTTCAGTGTTAACCAGAATATGATTGGTCAGTTTTCACTGGATGTTACCACAAAGCCGATTTGTCTAATATTGTTCACTTCACTGAGACACGTTCGAGCGAGCTGTACTGAAAGGAAGTTCATAATGCAGCGATTGTTAGTACTCAAATAAATCTTGTCCCTTCATGGCTTAAATGCTGTCATTTCTTTCGTGTCAGTGCCTTAGTTACCAGGCTGGAACTGAGGTGCGGAGAGGTTTCTTTTAAAATGGAGGGAAAGATTGACTAATTGACCCATGACACCTCATATCTTCCCGTTTTTAACGAGATCGCGTCACGCTATTGACGTCTTGTGTTACACGCTGTTTCGAGAATTGACACGTAAGCCAAAGCTAAACAGGAACAGAACATGCCAAGCAAGCGGGGGATTTCAGCTCCTCTTTTTTTTGTCAACATACCCAGCAGTATTTGACAGTACAGTGAAACGTAACTTTTAGCCGAATGGTTAACTGCGCATCTATCGATGCCCATAACGTACACTCAGTCACCAACATCAACAATGCCAAACTTAATTCCGCTAAGTATTAAAGCAAGAGATGTATATGTGCATGTATCAGTTACCATCTTTGGATAATGACAACTAAATATAAATAAACGAATTAGCACTCCTGAAAACGCACAACTGTTTATTTAATAAATTAATGCCACGAACTAATATTAGTGAATCGGTATCTAATAGTAGCTCTGATTTTTAAAATAGTTAACTGAGTTTGGAACAAGTCTCGGGGTGCTAAATGCGTACTGAACACAATCACTGAACTATAAATGTGAAATCAAAGTCGTCATGTATGTGACCGTGAGTTTCTCTATAATAAAGAAAACATTGTAAATTTTCACTAACAGAAGACTGCTACGTGCTAATATGCTGAGGCAAGTTAAAACTACACCTGCTCCCAGAACAGCGCAACACAGAGAGTTACATCTCTTGGTAGGAAGTAGAGACCTGCGGTGTTTAGAGTGAGATGTTCCTACGAATAAAATGGCCTACATGTGGTTTGTAAGTGGTCAATGAGAATGGTCTATGCGAATAACCTACAGGCTCTTCCAGGAGCACTGTTACAAAACGAACATCGTGAAGGTCGTGAAGCTGACATTTAAAACGGCTTAGCGTGTCAGCAAGATGGCTGAACCACAGGAAACACTTGCCATTTCACATTTTCATGAAACATTCAAACACTGACTGAAATGGCCTAGCAGAGTGATTTTGCGACCCACTGGATCGTAGTTTACATTAGTCTCTTTTCACCTGTAGAACCACAGGCAAAAGCTAGCTCGTTACAAACTGCATGAAACAACGGGAGATTTAAGCGTTTTATAAAACAACGATAGCACAATTATCTATAATGTCTAACTTAATTGCTCAACTAGCAAAATTCATAGTTGTATAAAATCTGCAATTACATGCGATATATAAATATATTTAACCTCTTCTTAATAAATCATTGCGGTACATGGTATCGTGCGCGAGCATTATCCTGAGGTCTAGTATAGCGATGAAGTTGTGAAAACTGAGGGACAAAATTGCGTGTAAAAACGATGGAGGAATGTGATTGTTGTAACTGTCATAAAAACCTTCTGCACTATATATAACACATCTCATCACGTCAGTAATTTTACAACTTTCCAGCTTTGCTGATATACTATTTACTCTCTCTCTCTTATTCTGATTATTTAGACAACCACATACTTTAGATTTCCTTGTATATATTATTATCAAACATTACTAACAGCTAAGGAAAATATAAATAATTTCTTACATTTATAATGTATTCTGTGACTGACCTCAAAGTTAACCTTAACTCTTTAATTAGGTGGTTTAAGATAATAAATAACTTGTCCAACGGGCTCCAACAGTTTACGTATTCTTGCTAAAATAGAGTATCTGTCTATCACGACGCTGCTGTGCCTGTTCACGATGGTTATTCCAATCACCAAAACCACCAACAAGATGATGACAGAAACCGTAAACCTGAATGCAGCTGATAAACATCTCCAGCACACACCTGGTCTCTTGGCTCTGAAAATAATTTAATGGAGTATTCAAATAAGGGAGGGCAGTTTGCCATACAATTCAAGGAAATATAAAACAAAAATAAATTACAATTGTTTAAAGAGGAAGCCACATCAGCCTTAATTAGCAGGTTTTCATGCAGGCCTTCTACATTGGTCGGAATGGAATTTGGAGATGTTGGTTTTTGTGGAGGAAGGAAAACCGGAGACAAACCATGGGAGCAAAGCGAGAACTAACAAACTCAACCCACATATGGCACCAGGGCGGAATCAAACCCGGGCCACATTGGTGAGAGACGAGCGCTCTCACCACTGCGCCAGCCCTGCTCCCCAGTAGAAATAGATTTCTTTATTGACTTACTCCAAATCTGTCAAACTCAACCATTTCACTCCCTGCGAGAGGGTTGATCTAGAAGGTTCGATCAGTTTTGCTTAGAACTGTCGCACGCAACATGCTAAAGACATGCTTCCTAACTTAATTCTGGTTCCGTCGACGAATAATCCGCAACTCAGTCTATTGACCCACAGGGCCTTTCCTAACGGTTCCAGTCCGAAACCGCTCCCATTTCCGGTCTCGAGTAAACCGACCTGATCCAGTTATGTCTGGACCGGAAGCATTTGGGACTGATTTCGTTTGTTATGTTGTGTCGTAACCTCGTCGCATGTGACAGCTGTAGGCAAAAATCGCTCTGTCTAAATTGGCCGTTATTCTTCTTGCAACTTTGCAAATTACTGAACACTGTCAAAGAAAATAAAATCCCAATTTATCTCAAGATAGCAGTAGAAATAAAGACACCGGAACTTTTCTCACAGGTAGAATTCAAAACAAAAGTCAGCCGCCAACGTTCGTAACTGAAAGTAGGAAAATCTATCAGTTACACAAAAAGAGTCTCTACTTACGTTGGCTGCACTGAATCTTCTTCTGACTCGAATTCTCCGCCTTCACTTTCATGCTCACTGGATTCCTTGATTTCATCCGAATCTGGAGATGCTGATGGATTATCTTCAGGAGCGACCTGCTCTTCCTGTTCCGCTTCTCCCTCGTCTGTTTCCTCCTGTGTATTTTTCGTGTCTTTTTCTCCCTCGGAACCACTGACAACTACTTCTGGAACATCGTTTGTCTTGTCTTCTGAGGTGCTCTCAGTCAAAGAATCAGTTTTCACTGTAGATGGCTCTACAGCCCGGGGCGGCGTAACTCCTGAAGCCTCTCTTTCTTGTCTGCTAGCTTCTGTACGACGCCTAAAGCTTCGGAGAGCTTCCTTGGCACGCATTGAGGTAGTGTGAAAGGCCATTACGAAGTTAAGAAGGCTATTTTGTTTTGTACCATCGCCTCCTGCTTCAGGCTGAAACAAAAGAATGCCAATCTTGAAAAATTCTCCTCATGTTGTTGATCGTGACAAGAAGAATGTACAAGCTAGCACAGACTTTGAAAGAGATTTTAAAAATTTCGTGACTAGAACAGTAAATAAAATAAAGAAAGAACATTGAAGGAGTGTGAGAAAAATGGTACCGAAATGAACCAGAGACCTATCATTCTGTTGAACTTAAAGAGTAGAATGGTTGGCAAAATAAAATAAGACAAACTGATAGACAAGTTAAGTAAACAAAACAGTCTTTCCAAATTTCTGGAGAGATACCAAGAAGTATTCTTACTTGACGAGTATGGGAAGATGAAGGACCGTCAACCCTCTGAGAATCTAAACATTGCAAATAAATAAAAACAAATATATCAATACATAACCAAACAAATACATGAATAAATAAACAAATAAATAAATGCCGGAATTGGTGACTGATGCGGAAGCAATAAAAAGTGCCGTTATAGATGGGGAATAAGTTGTAACCTTCACAAACTTCTTGAATGATACACCAAAAAGCGATACAGTAGATAATCACTTTTACAGCACGAAGAGCATGTAATTTGAATTTTCTTTTGTTGATTTATTACAATCAGTAACTGCCAAGGGATTGTTTTTCCAGTTTTGTTTGTGAGATTGACAGCCAACATTTATTCCAACGTTATTACCAAGTCTGGTAGGTCCATTAGCTAATGTTCCAGCTGTCACGGGTTCATCAGCAACTAATCTTTCCTTCAGACGCAATTCATTTAGGTCTTCTCGTACACGCTCCAAATGTCGCGTCAAGTTCTCGGCGTGGCTTATCATGACCTCCACTCCGGATGACATGCGAGCTTCCTACAGAAGCCAAGTTAAAACAAAGTCAGGTTACGTAAAGGAAACATTACTAGCAACTTATCGTGCGACAAAGTTGAAATGCAAGTTGAAAAGTGTTCTTGCTAGTTGGAAATAGAAGCAACCTGTATGTTGCGCTAAGCAGACACAAGTGTCACAAAGTTGTCATAACGTGACACACGGGTAATACAAGTTGCAAGAAAATGTTGCCAGTATTATTTTTCCTTGAGTTACTTTTCTACAATACACCAAACGTTCTTCAAATCGGGGGAAACCTCACATCAATATATGGACTGTTTCAATCATTAAGTCTATCGGGGAACAAGATTGGAGAAGATTGATACCGACAACGTCCTCTTTATAAACGTTTAGGTTAAAGGTTCTCAGATATTCTATAAATGAGTCAAGTGAGTTACGTACCACCTTTATAGATAGTTGTTTTAGTTGTTAACCTCAGTATAGCTAACCTGTTGAACACAACCATGTTGTTCTGTTTGAGTTGACACCCGTTGTGAAGACTTCTTTATTACTTCTACTTGAGACTTCAATACCGACAACATATCCTGTCATAAAACGTTCGCCATTAATCTAATTATCCGGTCGCTACTTTATAACAAGCAGTATCGCGCTTGACGTTACGTGCGAGATTTTACCGCAGTTAACTATAACGAAGATTGTGTTTAGACCAAAAATATGTTACTCTAATTTCTGCCTCCTTTCCACGACGTACCTGCATATCCTTAGTAAAACACATTTGTTCAAACTCCTATAANAAAAAAAAAAAAAAAACAAAAAACAAAAAAAAACAAGGATGAAGTAAGTAATTGCAATGCCTAAATAGATAGTGACATTGTAGCTATCAGTAAAGGCCACCAAATCAATTCTCCTACAATGAGTTTACCTGAATTTCCAGTCGTCGGTTGAGTGTATCTTGATCTGTTTGGAAAGCTAACACCAGAGTCTTGAACTGTTTCTGTTCAGAAAACAAAATAAACCAAAATGACACTTACACATACACTAATTGTCAAACAGGTACCAGTGAAGGTGAAATATTTATCTCCTGCTTATGTTTTTGACCAAGTAGAGCCAGACTTGTCATCAGCCACACCAACCAAATTCAAAAGTTATATATCTATCTATCGGAAAAAAAAAACAAAAAACAAAAAACAAAAAAAAAACTCCCCATAAAAACAACAAAATACCTGAAGGCTTTCAAAGAAATACATGGATGTATGGAAAAAAAGACGAATTCTCGTTTTACGTCTCTCTTTACGTTTCGCTTGAAATTTCATAGTAGGTCCAAAACAATACCAGCGAGAAGATTGCAGTGAAAGAAAAGAACCCGCCCACTGAATTTATAGGTACATACCAATTGGCATTTCTTCCTATTTTGTAATGGTGCAAAGCCGTCTTATGACGTTAGTTATCAAAGACACCAATAGGCTGAAAGACTCACTGCTCTTTACCTCGATTTCTTTTTCACTTGGAGCTGGCCTGTAGACAAATAATACGTGAACTTGGTCAAACAAAAAATATTGGTAAAGTACACAACCAATAATACGACAATCATTACGTTTTACAAATGCACCTTTCGCTAAAATTGAAAACTAACCAAGAGATTATGGTCATAGTCTCTGGAACTAACAAGTGCCACGAAAAGTTTAACCCTTCATCGAATCTCCTTATGGGCAAAGACGCAGAAATAGAAAACCCCGTTTTCACTCTTACTTAGAAGAAACAAAAACAAAACAAAACATATAAATAAGATTTGTCATTGAATTTATAAGTCTAAATGCAATAGGTGAGACTGACAAAATAGGTATATACATAACTTATTGACTCCCAAGATAAGCACACCTTACCTGACACGTAAGGACACTCCATCCACAAAATTCTTGCTTCCAACTGAACTTTCTAATGCCATGCTTGTTTCACTCGCGTAAGAATCAAACTCTTCCGGTATTTTAAATGCCACAGAGAGCTTCTTTCTCCATAACTTTGTGGCAGACCTCTCTTTGTCGACAGCTAGACTCGTCTTACCAGAGCCTGAATCCTCNTCGTTTTACGTCTCTCTTTACGTTTCGCTTGAAATTTCATAGTAGGTCCAAAACAATACCAGCGAGAAGATTGCAGTGAAAGAAAAGAACCCGCCCACTGAATTTATAGGTACATACCAATTGGCATTTCTTCCTATTTTGTAATGGTGCAAAGCCGTCTTATGACGTTAGTTATCAAAGACACCAATAAGCTGAAAGACTCACTGCTCTTTACCTCGATTTCTTTTTCATTTGGAGCTGGCCTGTAGACAAATAATACGAGAAACTTGGTCAAACAAAAAATATTGGTAAAGTACACAACCAATAATACGACAATTATTCCGTTTTACAAATGCATCTTTCGCTAAAATTGAAAACTAACCAAGAGATTATGATCATAGTCTCTGGAATTAACAAATGCCACGAAAAGTTTAACTCTTCATCGAATCTCCTTATGGGCAAAGACGCAGAAATAGAAAACTCCGTTTTTACCCTTACTTAGAAAAAACAAAAACAAAATAAAACATATAAGCAAGATTTGTCATTCAATTTATAAGTCTAAATGCAATAGGTGAGACTGACGAAATAGGTATATACATAACATATTGACTCCCAAGATAAGCACACCTTACCTGACACGTAATGACACTCCATCCACAAAATTCTTGCTTCCAACTGAACTTTCTAACGCCATGCTTGTTTCACTCGCGTAAGAATCAAACTCTTCCGGTATCTTAAATGCCACAGAGAGCTTCTTTCTCCATAACTTTGTGGCAGACCTCTCTTTGTCGACAGCTAGACTCGTCTTACCAGAGCCTGAATCCTCTGATGAAGGTTTATCAGTCTTATTTTCCTTTTCTATTGTCCTGATTTCTGGAACTTGAGACTCCGTTACGCCTGATTTTCGTCGTCGGTTTTTCCCGTCAGTTTGAGTATCTTCGTCAGTAATCGTCGCTTTATCGGCAACACTAATCTGTCTCTCGATCAACTCGATTTCCCTTAGAAGGTCCGTTTGTGAGCCTGTCGTTACGAAATCCTTTAAATCTGTTTGACTACTCGACGTTGTCAATTCTCGACCAGTATTTTCAACAAGCTGCAAAAATTTACCACTAGGTGATTCAGAAGTACCATCTACTTCATGTCTACCACTTTTTGAACTTAAAGAGTCACTGGAGAGAGAAGAATATCGCCGCTTATACAAGTCATTGCTCAGCCAACTTTCAGTGGCTTGTTCTTTCTGATGGACCATAGTAACCTCTTGATAGGTAGGGTAAATTTTCTCTTCAAATTCATTCACAGGCTTTCCATCTGGAGAGTCTCTTCCGACGCCCTGAAAGTGCAGGTGAAAAGCAATTAAACCACAATTACTGAGAAACACATAAAGTGACTAGGATTATTACCGCTGCTCCAGTTGGATGGGACACCAGTCCATCAGAGCTTTCATCTCCTACCCTATCCCACAGCATTAATATTTCGACCATACCCACTTACCATACATTCCCAGAGGCAAGGCGTAAATAAAGTACCTTGCCCGATAGCATCATAATGACCCCGGCCTGGCCGGCTCGAATGCTTCGTAAGAGAATCGCGAATGTTGATCACAAACAAAAGAAGACAAGAAGGCTTACAACGAATCTGCAGTGGAAAGGAAAAGGGGGCAGAGAAAAGCAAAAGGCGTCCCTGTTTAAATAATTTAAAGCCCTTATAATGTTCAATTATAGAGGAATAGCAGGAGCTTAAAATCAGCGATTGACGACTACCAAGTCATGCAGTGAAGAGTATTAAGGACATCAGGGTATGCTATCTTCGCCAAGAAACAAGTTTTGTAACAGGACTGGCCAACAAAGTACCGAACACACTTTTGATCTTGTATCTAATTAAAACCTTGTTCATTGAAAGTAACTGAAATTAGAAAAAAGAAGCCAACAAACCTGCATCCTTCTGCTTGTATCAGACTGTGAAACATAATCATACAACTTTGTCCTCACCATGTGACCAGTGATACAAGGTGACGAACAACGGGGTGACTGAAAAATATCCAAACATTGCGTGAACAGATGACGAAAACCACGCAAGTAGTTACAAAACCTACCGTACAAAATGAAAAAAAAAAAAAAAAA